ACTGTTCAATTGAGATATTACACAGAATCTTATTGGATGATGACTGTTTATTTGAGATATAACACAGAATATGATTGGCTGTAAACAGTTTATTTGAGATACAACAAAGAATCTGATTGGCTTGTAACTGATCTAACATACATTCTCATTGGCTGATGGCCTCTGTTTTCCATTCAGTTATGCCTTGTAGTATGTGCAGTATTGGGTGTGGTCTTCTATCGTGTGTCTGTATATGCGGCATTGATATCGTCAGGAGTGTATGATGAAAAYATGGGCGCTATTAGCATGACAACCTCTGCTACAGCAGCACTCATCAACCTGTGTATCATTGTTCTTCTTAACAAGGTATGATAAATATWATTTAGTAAATCTCCTTTCTGCTATTTTTTTCACTTCAAACTGTTACCTAGTGTTTCCTTTCTTTCAAAATGGTAGGAACTAGTGGTAAACTAGTGTCAACTGCATCAGTTTTAATAAAGAAATAGTTGTGTAAAAAGATAAATTTAACATTGTAAAAATAAAGTAGTTGAAATAACTCACTGATGTTTCGGACTTTACTCCTTTGTCTTTACTCTGACTAAACATCTGAAACATCAGTAAGTTATTTCACGTATACTTTTTTTACGGTGTTAAATTTATCTTTTTACACAACTGTTTACTTTGTAAACTCTATTTTAGGTGTATGAGAAGCTTGCTTTCATGTTTACCAACTGGGGTAAGACTCTATTACTTTATTTCTAATTTTCTTTGATTTTTTATAGTTTAAATTGCAATTGCCCAAATTAATTTTCTTTTTTATTGTAAAATCTTAGAGATGCCAAGAACACAAACTCAGTAYGAGGACAACTTTACRTTCAAAATGTACCTGTTTCAGTTTGTCAACTACTACTCATCACTCTTCTACATTGCATTCGGGAAATTAAGGTACATTTCCAGCACTTAGATATTTCCTGTCTTCCCTCCTKTCTCCATTATGTCTCTTCCTCTTTTTTCCTCCAACCTTGTGTTTYGTTSTTTTTTTGCAACCATCCTTCTCCCATTTCTTGTTTCATTCTTTTCTCCCTTCACTTATTTACCYACTTCTCTTCTCTTGTTTATCCTATATTGCGAACATCTTTCTTGMTCATTTTTTTCTCTCTTCAGTTTTTCCTGCCTTCATTCAGCAGCCTAACTTCTGTGGAAAACTCCTTCACTCACTTGATAATCTTATCTATGTTTTCTTCGCCTCATTCCTAACCCTCACTCAGCCACCTTATTCCCTTATTCACTCCTCCTCTCTGGTTCCTTCGTCCTTTGCCACCTTCCTACTTCCTTGTTCCTTTCTTTCCTCCTTCCCACTCCAAAACTTCCTTCGTAAATGGACATCTTTGTGCCTTCTTCTCTTCAATTCCTCATTCTCTCCTTCCTACACTYGCTTACCTCCTTCCTACATTCCTCCCCCTTTCTTCATTGCTTCCTTCGTCCTTCCCTCCTCCTTTCACTCTTCCCTGACGCTCTCTGCCTCCTTTTTTGCTCCTTCCTTGTCTCTTATTTTCATCCATTTATTTATCTATTATGTACTGTTGTTTTCAACAGTCCTGGTCCACCTGGTGCTTACCATCGTGTTCTTGGTGTTGGTGAAAGGGAAGGTTATAGACAGGAAGAATGTAATCCTGCTGGATGTCTGTTTGAGTTGCTTCTTCAGCTTTGCATCATCATGTTTGGCAAACAAGTGCTCAACAACACTCTAGAAATTATTTTACCGTAAGTGAAACAAGTGTGCTGTAAATTTTTAAMCACAAAATTGGCAGTTAATCCAGTTAACTGTCAGTTTATTATACAAAGGCAGTCAGTCTTTTTTCTTTCTTTACTGGCATATAATTTGTAAAGACTTGATATCAACAATTATCTCCTTCCTGTTTCATGTGTCATCTTGAAAGGTAACCATACCTTTGCATTAAAGCAAGACAGCTAGTGAACTTTCATTGAGAGAAACCTTTGAATAGTTGTCTGTAGATTATTGAAAGAAGGTTTATATCATTGCATGCTCAGCTGAAGATGTGGCAACCTTTTAAGATGGTGCAGGGAACTATGAATGAGACTTTGAGTGATGGAAACTTCTTAATGATTCATGATTGAATTCAAATGAATAGTTGTTTGATGAAACTATTATATCATATTATTATACATATAAATACTTATAGGAAATTAAGACATTGGTGGAAGAAAAGAAAAAATGCTGATCAACCAGACCTTACTGGGACACCCAGATGGGAGCTTGATTATGACTTGAATGAATACCCGCAGTATGGACTCTTCTATGAATATTTAGAGATGGGTAGGTACAATGTATTGAAAGTATTATCTATAGTGAATTTATTTTGAGTCTGTAAGAGGTGGGTGCATCATTGTCAGTAGATGGATCTTCTAGCTATGGGTATATATACAGGACTGTGTGGTTTCTCCAAAAAATCGTAATTGCAATTACATGTAATTGTGTTGTGTGCTACTTATACATTCAGGGCTGAGAGAGTGATTGACACTTGTCATTCAGTGAGAGGAGACCTTAATAATATTATAACTAATTAATCAATTATTGATCATAAGATGGCTGTATTTGAGGCTGTGTGTGACTGAAGAAAAACCTCAACAAAATATCTCAAAAATGACTTTATTTCTTATTATTGGTTTCTATTTTTCATGTTTTCTTGTAGTTATTCAATATGGTTTCATTACTATTTTTGTAACTGCMTTYCCACTTGGTCCTCTACTGGCTTTGATCAATAATCTYATTGAGATTCGCCTGGATGCCTATAAGTTCACCTGTGTATTTAGAAGACCTATGGCTGCTCGTGCTCAAGACATTGGTGGGTTTCTTTCTGTGTTATTTGTTATGGAGTCCCTGTGYAATTCATTGTATGTTTGGAGTCCCTGTGTAACTCAGGGCTCTTCATGAATAGACCTTTGCCAACTTCTCCTGGATGAACATGAAACAATGGTTTCAATTCGAGGCTTTCCCTGATAGACAAAACAATCAAGTTCAGGCTCGACTTGGAACCATTCTTTTGTGATCATTCAAGCAAATTTGGGTCTATTCCATGTGACATGAGTCAAGTTAAAAAGAAGTTAAAGTATTTTGAAAGCAATAATGGATAGAAAACCATGGTGRAAAAGAGCACTTTGTTTTATAGGAGACCACTGAGTCTATCCTTTGATGCTTAAAGTATAACATAATTCAAGGATATTGATAATTTCTTTTTCTTGTATTTGCCTGCAGGTATATGGTATGCAATTCTCAATGGTGTCACTAAACTTTCTGTTGTGGTCAATGTAAGTATTGCATTATAAATTGTTTATTGGTTCTCAAGGATTTTCTCTCAATATTTACCATATAACATGCCTTGAATATAATCTTATATATTTGTGTTGATCACAGGCTTTTGTCATAGCTTTTGTATCTGTGTTTTTGCCTTGGATTTTCTCGCAATATTTACCATATAACATGCCTTGAATATAATCTTATATATTTGTGTTGATCACAGGCCTTTGTCATAGCTTTTGTATCTGAGTTTGTACCTCGTCTGTATCACCGTTATGCACGACGCAAAGCAGACATGAGTGGTTTTCTTGATGAGAGTTTATCCTGCTTTGATATCAGCAACTTCACCGACATCGAACAACCAAATTTTCAACTTGACACCAACCGATTCAATCCAACAACATGTAACTTCAATGCTACGACCTGCAGGTAACTGGGAGGAAACAGTACGCCCTGTGGTATAACGTGCAAGTTGAGGTGGGAAGGGAGGGGGGCTCCCTTATGAAAGAGGGTAGGGGTCCTTTTCATCCCTTAGGGCTTAAAACCAGTATTTTGGGCGTGCTTAGGGCGTTGATTACGAGAATTTCCACCATCAAAGTTTTGTGGTAATATTTATGGTATAAGACAGCTTCGTAAGCCGGCATTTGAAGATCAACGATGCTGCTATGTCGTCATTAAATCACACCTGCAGTCAGCGGTTGATGTTATTANCTGTGTTTTTGCCTTGGATTTTCTCGCAATATTTACCATATAACATGCCTTGAATATAATCTTATATATTTGTGTTGATCACAGGCTTTTGTCATAGCTTTTGTATCTGTGTTTTTGCCTTGGATTTTCTCGCAATATTTACCATATAACATGCCTTGAATATAATCTTATATATTTGTGTTGATCACAGGCTTTTGTCATAGCTTTTGTATCTGTGTTTTTGCCTTGGATTTTCTCGCAATATTTACCATATAACATGCCTTGAATATAATCTTATATATTTGTGTTGATCACAGGCTTTTGTCATAGCTTTTGTATCTGTGTTTTTGCCTTGGATTTTCTCGCAATATTTACCATATAACATGCCTTGAATATAATCTTATATATTTGTGTTGATCACAGGCTTTTGTCATAGCTTTTGTATCTGTGTTTTTGCCTTGGATTTTCTCGCAATATTTACCATATAACATGCCTTGAATATAATCTTATATATTTGTGTTGATCACAGGCTTTTGTCATAGCTTTTGTATCTGTGTTTTTGCCTTGGATTTTCTCGCAATATTTACCATATAACATGCCTTGAATATAATCTTATATATTTGTGTTGATCACAGGCTTTTGTCATAGCTTTTGTATCTGTGTTTTTGCCTTGGATTTTCTCGCAATATTTACCATATAACATGCCTTGAATATAATCTTATATATTTGTGTTGATCACAGGCCTTTGTCATAGCTTTTGTATCTGAGTTTGTACCTCGTCTGTATCACCGTTATGCACGACGCAAAGCAGACATGAGTGGTTTTCTTGATGAGAGTTTATCCTGCTTTGATATCAGCAACTTCACCGACATCGAACAACCAAATTTTCAACTTGACACCAACCGATTCAATCCAACAACATGTAACTTCAATGCTACGACCTGCAGGTAACTGGGAGGAAACAGTACGCCCTGTGGTATAACGTGCAAGTTGAGGYGGGAAGGGAGGGGGGCTCCCTTATGAAAGAGGGTAGGGGTCCTTTTCATCCCTTAGGGCTTAAAACCAGTATTTTGGGCGTGCTTAGGGCGTTGATTACGAGAATTTCCACCATCAAAGTTTTGTGGTAATATTTATGGTATAAGACAGCTTCGTAAGCCGGCATTTGAAGATCAACGATGCTGCTATGTCGTCATTAAATCACACCTGCAGTCAGCGGTTGATGTTATTATGTCAAAGCACAAATGAAATAGATAAACCGAGCTAGAATGAAAGGTTGCTCAAGATTTTTCACTGTGAGGGGTTAAATTTCATCGCCTRCCACGCCCATCATCACACAATGCAGGCCGGTCCTTCTAGATTAGGAATCTATAATTATTTTACTTAATAAATTTGTGTCTATTTGCAGGTTCCGTGGTTATTATGAATCACCATTCCTTAACTTTGATACATTGCCAAATCCAATCAAAAACCCTAATGCCTACACCTTGGCCAAGGCTCACTGGCATATAGTGGCTGCAAAACTATTCTTTGTCATCGCCTTCCTGGTAAATACTTATTTCTCTCAGTATATTGATCGCACTTTAACMGTGCAACTGTACAACATCTAAGTAGTAATTTGTACTAAAAGTGGACCTGAAAGACAATAGTTTTTCACAATTGAGTAAGCTTTATTGCACAGCACCTCGTCTTTATTCTTATGTGTTTGACAACTGAGAACAAATTCGCAAATCGGCTATTGCAATTCAGGCAATTCATGGCCAAAGAATATGCTTGAATATGATAGTATAATTGTATTGTACATTTGTGAGCATTGATCATTGTGCTGTTGACAATGATAACAATGATTAATAACATTATTAGTAGTAACTAATATTAAATGCTTTTTTCAAGTATWCCTGGATAAAGACAGAACAAAAGTTATTTATGTAGCGTCTCATAAGTTCTGCTGTCTATTAATGATAATGTGATTTTATTGATTTATATTGTTGTTGTTTTTTTGTTGTTTTTTGTTTTAGCACACCGTGTTTGCATTTACCAGTCTTCTGGCCTGGCTCATTCCTGATGTACCAAAAAGAGTATCCAATCAAGTTAAACGAGAGAATTTCTTGGCTCGTGAAGCTCTTAGAACTCAAGAGGTTCCTGATAGCGCTGTAACCAGCCCCGCCTCACAGAGAGGGGACCGCGATGGCATGGTCTGAACATTTCTATTAAGTTACCTTAATTATGGTAATGAATTGCATTAAGAAAAGTTGTACATTTAATGTCGATATGTCGTTATACGACTTCGTTATTACACTGAAATATCATTGGCTTCCTTACATATTAGTGGCTTCCTGACATATCAATGGCTTCCTTACATATTAGCGGCTTCCTTTGATATCAGTGGCTTCCTGGCATATCATTGGCTTCCTTACATATTAGTGGCTTCCTGACATATCAGTGGCTTCCTTACATGCAATTTGCTTTTTGAATAGTATTAGAAGCCAACAAGCTCCTCTGAAAGGAGGTTCAAACTTATCTTTATTGTAACCAACTATTCTGATCCTTTGTCCTTCCTGTTTATCGAATAATAGTATTTTTATAATTAGCTCAATAATAGCTCTGCATATGCATAAATGTAATACAGCCGAACCTCTGTTAAGCGACCCTCTATTAAGTGGTCACCCTCCATATAGCGGTCACTCATGGATTCAACATAAGTCGATTCTCACATATATTTACTGTAAAACATGACCTCTTTTAAACGGTCGACCTCTATTAAGTGGTCACCTGGTCCGTTCTCAAGGTGACCGCTTAATAGGGGTTCGACTGTAAATTATGTGATTAAAATGCGATTGCACTTTAATTTTGATGGTGGTGGGTTTTTGTACACTGACACATTCAAATTCCTTTTGGTTTTTGTAATTATTCTTATAAGTGTTCACCCATGGATCGAAAAATTGACCACCAAAATGGTATGAACTATTTAGGTAAGGTTGGTTGAATTGGGTGAAAGAGTATTTAATAAATACTGACTGTTGAGATCATTCCTTAAGGAATKCATTGTGCTCATTATGTCAGGATTGTGACTGTGGTCACTCGAACTGAGACAGACGAAGTAGAATAAACGCAGGAAAAGCATGAAATGAAAACAAACTCAATACTAACAAATCGCGGCTATTGATCGTTTTCAACCATTCCCATGAGATTCAAAAGATAAAACACCGGCGGCCATGTTGGAGGAATGAACAATAGATACTAATGAGAAATCCTTTGTTAAAGTTCCACCGGGATGGCCGCTGTAACGTATAGTGAAAACGAAGAATTTGACAATTTTGACAAGATGAATCCACATGGGATCATTTTTCATTCATCTTCATTGCGTTCTGGYTCATTGACACTGACAATTTGTCTCTAAACAGCCGCTATTTGTAAGTATTTAGATTCCGAATTTGATTCTGTTTCATGCTTTTCCTGCGTTCGCTCTAATCCAATAACAAAAGGTCATACGCAAAATGTACAGGGCTGAAAATATTTGTAGCCATGCCTTGGATGTAGAACTATTCTTGGTGTACAACCACATGACCAAGAGACCTGAGAAATAAAAAAAGCTGTCGACGCGACATGTTGGATGAATGAACAAGAGAAACTAATGAGGAATGCGTTGTTATTCTCACCAACATGGTGGTGATGACGTAACTTGCACGCCAAGAATTTGTTAAATAGAAGAAAACAATAGGAGTTAATTAAACACTGAGCATTGATTTATTCATCGGACAAACCTACAAATCCGTGAAGGTTAGGAGATTTGTCCGCGACAGGTTTGTSAGTCTGCACGATAGAAATGACTCAGAGTTATATAGTCGATAGCTTGGAAGAAGCTCAAAAATTCATCGAAAAATGGGAAGCTAARGAAGGAAGAAAGCTGAAGTGTATGAGAATGCAGAAGGGTTTCGGCAATTCGAGTAAGTAACGCGTAAAGCATGGTGCTAGTTTTTACTTTCAAAATATCTGAAAGATAATGATTACACATTTGCACTGAAAAAGGTATATTTGACAAGCCGCACCGTGTCCAATGGGGAATCGARGGTTTAGAAAACGATTTAATACCACATTTGGTATTAGCGAACAAGGTTCTTGGCTGCAGTGACAAGGTGAGGAAATATTTCCAGAACGAAGGGCTCCCGGGGGATGGGGGTTCTCTTGAAATTCTAAAATCTCTAGTTTGTAGTAATCTCAAAAATGTTGCTTTTTATACTCAGTTGGATACTAAGGATGCTTTCCATTTAGGCAGATCTGGCCGCCCAGTCCGCTCTATTTATACAATATGTTTTATAGTCCCGAGACCGCTGATGTTTTAACATCCAGGAGCCAACGGGGWCTGTTCKTCTAAAYAACTGTTCTTGTACGAATTTTTTCSTGGGAAAGGGATTTTGARSTACATTGTTGACAATCTCACAAGCAAGTGTGGCGACCTTCCTAATTTAAAATAATTTTTGTTCTTGGTAAACGTTTTTAATGTCAAAAAAGGCTCATATAACGCTTTAATGGTCAAAAAACGGTCATATTTTTTAGTTAGGAAATTTTTATTTTCCTGTTAAAAWTTCTGAGAAAGTATTCCTTGCCTGGAGAGTTCTTTTTCCCTATTTCCCTCTGGGAACCAGTTGTGACTTAAAGGTGGCTGGGACATATGAACAGATATATTTCTCCCAGGAACCCGTYGGCTCCTCCTRAACATCAGCGGTCGAGRGACCGCAAAACATACTGTTTCTCGAGGTTTCAAGTAAATAAGTGCTTTATTAACATGTCAAGTGTCAAAGGAGAGTAAAACAAGTAAATAAATGAAATTTTTTATTCAAAGATTTTGATAAAATGACTGAAAAATGATACATAATACAAATCACGTCAAATGTCACTAAAATTAATCAATGTGCTCAATACACATATAGTGTAGAGCTATTAGTTATGTAAATACTGTCTGATGAGTGGTGCGTAGCACAAAACTCGGAGTAACAGCAAAATCTTGCCTCTTTGATATTACAGCCTTTTGCACAAATTATGAGACAATTTTATATATATAAATATACCTAACCAAATATCAAAAACACCCCAGAAATTATGGTATATCTCTATTATATTTTGTCATGATTGCCTAGCATCAGGTTGTTACAGACAAAATATCAGCGACGGTATCCCATAATTTCTTGGGTGTTTTTGATATTTGGTAAGGTATATTTATATATATAAAAATGTCTCATAATTTGTGCAAAAGGCTGTATATATATTATATATAGCAATATGCAGAAAGTATAATCATTTTGACTCATATTCCGAGTATATCTATAATATATCAGAAATTATGGGATATCATCGCCAATATTTTTTTTAAAAGTTGCCTAGCACTAGTACTTTCTTAAAAAAATATTGCTGTATTATATATTATATTATACTCGTGCCCCATATATTAGAAGTGAGAAAAATACTCTATGCCATAATTTAAATACTTTCATATATAATCATATGATAAACAATATTACATCATAATCTTATCGTGCTTAAAATGTTTCACTCGTTCGCCTATACATGCACCCAATAGTTAGCCCGACTTCACGCTCTAAGAGCGTCTAATTAACAAATGTGTAAGTTTGCCAACTTGAGAACAAGCTCTTAARAATTAGACATTTCTCCATTTTATCCCCAGAAGGAAAAGAAAAAGGGCGGGACTGCCAAAATCATCATCAGAGAAATCATGAAATTTCCAAAGTACAAAGTAAGTCACCAAGGCATACTTAGTTTGAGCTGAAAAGCTGAATTGTTRTGAATTCTCTAGTGTAGAGGACTGCAGATGACATTGAATTGAGCTGCACCAATGTTTAAGCTCTTTGGGGTGCAGCCATTTTCAGTTTACTGAAAGTCTATCTCACTTTTCAACACAGCACTTAAAACACAAATATTAGAGTTTTCAACCATCTGAAATTCGTTTTATGTTGATATTTGGATACTAGAAGCATTTTGGTGTAAATCATAACAATAACAGAGGCGCGCAAAGCATAATGGTGCAAACTTGCCCTTTAATACAGGAACAGTTTATTTATCCATGTTTTTCCTTTGCAGCCATTCTTAGTGGCGGGCTCCCTGTCCCCCACAACAGTCGTACCGGGACAACATTGCATTTCAATCTTGTATTCTTAATTTTGTTCAGCTGAATAAAGACACAGAAAAAAGAAGAAGAACTATGTCTGAAAAGCTAAGAAGAGACATGAAGGAGCACAAAGATGAGGGAAGAAGGCTGTTTTGGGTGTACTTTCCAACGCAGCAATGTCATACAACGGTACATGATATATTTCTTCATTATTGCATTAATGCTATGCATAACGCACTTAACGTTCAGTGGGACCATGTGTGTATATAGAAAGTTAAGGGCAGTATGATAATGCCAAATGATTTTCACTATATCCCAAATAAAGGGCACATTTTTTTTTGAGGGGGGGGGGGGGAATTCGAGATGACTAAATTGAAAATAATGAAAAAATGTTAAAATAAAATTGGAAGCAGATAGGCACATAAACAACTTATGTCTTTAACTAACTGCTTTAACTAACTATTTATATTAAACAGTCTATGGTCAGTGTTGAAGGTCCATCTACTTCRGATACTAGAAAAAAGAGAAAATTACAAGATGACGACATAGAAATTATAGAACCAGACAAARTGATGACCAAGCGCAACATGACTTCCGGACAGAACACTCTATCAAATCAAGTATGTTGAGAGATTTTGAATATATCCCAAATAAACTGGGCGGTTTTGGGGAGAATTCTAGATGACTGAAATGAAAATAATGAAAATTAATAAAGAGATTTAACGTTGCATTTTGTGTTAATAAAACTGGAAGGAAGATCTATGGCTGTAAATAACTTCTTTAACTAAATATCAGTCTTTCTTTCAGTCTATGGTCCGTGTTGGTGAAACTCCATGTACATCAGATGCTGCTTCCATGGAAGACTCAAGAATAAGAGGAGACAGAAATCATCGACTTCGCAGGCTAGTAACGAGGTCTTGGGATCAGGGATCAGCGTCATTTTTTGGACTATTTTGGGATCAGGGATCAGGATTTAGGCTKAGGATCYGGATCAAATGGATTTAACCTGGGATCAAAGGTTTTTCAACTGGGATCGGGATCAATGATATTTTTCAACGATTCTGTAARGGGATCAGGGATCAAAATGTACGGAGTTTTGGGATCGGGATCACGTTTTTAGGCCGTTTTGATCCGGATCAACAGCAAAAAAATATACCTCGTTACTAGCCTGGACTTCGACTTCRACTTCGACTTCGAGTTACAAAATAAAAATATAACAGACCTTTGGAAGGAGATTCCCACTTCCTGATAAATATTGTGCAGTCCCTACCTAAGCTATAAATAAACCAAATTATCATTTTGAGAAATAAATAACATTTTTCAGAATTGGAATGAAGTAAAAAAAAACTGTCAAATAGATATTACCGGTAGTACAGTGCCTATACTATGACATCATGAAATAAAATTTAAATAGTTTATACTAACAAATAGTTTTAGTCGACTGCAACAGTCTTAGTAACATACATGAACATACATTCTGCACACTTGAGAAATCGAATCACTTCCAGGCACCATGTTTTGCAAGCATGAAAGTCTTTATTTTTTACTCGCACATGGGACTCCCCAAGCATGTATGCACAGGGAGCCCATCACATAACAGAAACAATACCTCATTACAACTGTTCCAGTTGAGTGATAGCAACTAATAGTCACTAAATTGAAGAACTATTAGGATAACTATTTAGATGTTTTTATTTCATGGACATAGTGTAAGTACATAAACCT